ATTCGACTGCGAGCTTGGAGGTGCACGGGGAGGGAGGGGCGCGCCGCTTGGACTGCGAAGCTACGGTCCTCCCTCCGGATGGTTTGAGGTCCTTTCAAGCCATAATCAAAACCGTGTTTTAAAAATGCAATTTGGGTGGTGTTCGGTTTCTGCTAAAGATGGTTATGGGTGATGCTGCTGGGGGGAGGGTCAAATGGGCGGGCATTGTAAACTGCGGCTTCCCAACAATAAAAATGCAGTCCGGGGTATTTCCTTCTCCTCGACTATCGGCTGCACTTGCATCGCCTTGGATCCCATCTCCAGGCCTTTGGGAGCCAAAAAACAAACAAACAAACAAAAAAAACCCCGAGAGAAATTCCCAGGAAACCGCCTTCTTCTCTTAGGCCAGAGTGGATCGGGACAAGAAATTGCGGTCGACCTCCGGGTGAAGATGAACTGCTACTGCCTGATCGAAATTAGCGTTTTGCAGCAAGCGCAGAGCCGCCGTGTGGCAATTAAAGTGTGGGATTTATTCCGATTGAGATTGTCAGGCGATGACAGATTTCGAGACTGAAAAATGCTTGGTGATGTCCGAGTCGCCGGTTTGTGTTGTGAAACAAATTTCAAGGTGAATTGTGAACGCAAAGGACTTATGCAGGCAACGGGAACCAGAATGGTGGCTCTTGGGGGATCGTGGTTGGAAGTAGCCTTCAGGCACTGCCTCCTTTTCTCTCTTGTACAGAAGGGTGTTTCCTTTTTGAGCATTTATGGCCCATGGTGGTTTCCTGCATGAGTCCCTCTAAAGCTGCTACCGCTTTTCCTTTGCTGCAGCTCTCAAGATGTCTTTGACTTGAATTTCATGAAGTCCGGATAGAATGTGTGTGGGGGAGGGATTGTGGGAGGTGCACTCCAAATGATGGAGCATCCATGTGGGAGATGCAACCCTACAGGTGTTTTATGTCAAGATCTCACTTCTAAGAGAGCCACCTCTTGAGCAGAGCCGGTCTCCTTTTTGATTCTCCCAAAGTTTGCGAATCTCTCTTGTTACCCAGAAACACTGGAAGCATATTGTAGGTTGTTCCGCTGTTACTATAAAAAAATTAAAAGAGATATGAGTAGAAATCAGAATTGCTCTTTAATTTTGTGACATAGTAACTGGTCTACATATATTTTCTGACTGATCTACCAGTCAGAAAATACAGCTCCTAGATGAATTCATCTGTCTTGGATTTTGCATATATTGATATATCTTGGGACCCCTTTTTCTTCCTCTGTGCCTTCTTTGTTTCTCTGTTTAACTTGGAAGGTTCATGGGAAATCTGAAGCACGTGGTAGTGACATTCTTCACAAGCTATGTGGAGAGATGGGGTTGGCTCATTTTGATATTTTTCCAAATATCTGTACTGCCATGATGATTTGGTACATTTTTCCTTTAACAATTAGCATTTTACAGAAAGCACAATATTATTTTCCGTGGCATGCCTGGTGAGGCCTGAAGGCAAATATGCATTATATATGTTAGCTGATTGCCAGTCTGAACAGCTAGAGGTCACGGAACTAGAGATTTAACATAATGGAACAGCTAGAAGAAGGCTTGGATAATGTCTGAGAAGATACTTGGCTTAGGTGCAGGAAACTTTCCCAATCTGTATTTAGATTGCAGTTCCCATAATTCCCAGCTAGCTTTCCTTTGAGAATCGTGATCCCAGTATACCTGGAAGGCACCCGGTTGAAGAAAGCTGTTCCACTATAATGCCCTATTATGTTATTCTGAAGTTTTTTGCCAGTTAATATAGCAGTGCTGATCAGTGAAAATAATTGCTTTATTGTGTCAGTTAACTCCACTTGAAATGGAAAGCTTGTATAGCAATGGCAAGCCAAGGAATAATTAGATGAATTGACACATTGTTAGTTGCCAGACAGCTTTTATTTGCCATGAGTAGATGCAGTAGAGTTGATAGTTAAGATGATAAGAGTGCCTTCTCCTAACATTTAGGCAGTGGTGGGATTCAGATATGTGAACAACTGGTTCTCTGTGTTTATGCCGCTTCCGGAAGTCCATTCTGGGCCTGGGCAACAAAAAATTAGCTACCTGTTCTGCCGAAGTGGTGCGAACTGACTGAATCCCACCACTGCATTTAGAACTCTCTTGAGTGTCAAACGATAAAATTATTTGTCGGGGCAGTGTGATTTCCATTCCACTGTAAATGGAAAAGTACTTTGGGCATGTTTGGATCTTTTCTTTCGCATTTATATGTTTAAAATAGTCCTTTAATTTGGAGAAGTTGCAAAGATATTTTACTGTACAAGATTTTGTGAAAATTAAAGTGGTGATACATTTGCTAAACTTAGAATGTCACTGTCACAGTCACTGTAGAATCTTGTTAATCATGGCTGATTTCAGAAAAGCTAAGCATAGTTGGTGGACTTAAATTAGTTGTGGGATGGGAGACCTGTATGAAATCTCAGGGTTGTAGGCTGATTAAGAAGCCAAACAAAAAAAGTAATTGGGGAGTAAACAGTTGCAAATCACTTGGGAACAGTTGCCAAAAAGACCTGCATGAATGTCTCCAGAAGCCACTAGATGAGCCGCATTTGAGTTTTACTTGTTACTTTTAAGGAACCGCAAGTGTCTCTTAAAAAAATTGTGAAAAGATTCATCTGGTGTCTTGTAATACTGCTTGCTGAACATCTCACCCTATAATTTAAGACAGAACAATGAGCAGTAATAGGCAATTGAAAGTGCAGATAGTTAAAGTTGAAGGCAAAAACCAAATACTGTGGTGAATCAAGATCCATTGTCCATCTTTTGAAGAAAAACATTCAATCCAATTCATTTTATTAGTGCTACTAAATCAGTATTTTTTCTAAGTTACAGAAACATGAATTTGTTTAGAGTGTAGATCCAAACCATTTAAATCTACCCCAATGTACAGGTTTATCTCTGCCTAAAGCAATGTTATGAATTTTTCTTACATTACAGCTTCTAATCACATTTTATCCATATAGATAAAAGCTTTTATTTCCTATTCCTGCAAATTATTGGATATCCCTGAGATTGGAGAATGGAAACTCAGAATGCTATTGAGATATTTTATTTATTTATGCATTTTAGACTACTTTCTGAATGTGAGTTTCCAGAGGAACATGCATTTAATAATGCAACATTAATAGAAATAATGAAAATTAGAATAACAGAGTTGGAAGGGACCTTATAGGTCATCTAGTCGAACTCCCCTGCCCAAGCAGGAAACCCTACACCCTACATCTGAAAGACGGTAATCCAATCTCTTCTTGAAAGCTTTCAGTGATGAAACTTCCACAACATCTGAAGGCAAACTGTTCCATTGGTTGATTGTTCTCACTGTCAGAAAACTTCTCTTTATTTCTAGGTTGAATCTCTCCTTGATCAGTTTCCATCCATTATTCCTTGTCTGACCTTCAGGTGCTTTGGGAAATAGGTTGATCCCCTCCTCTCTGTGACAGCCCCTCAAATATTGGAAAATTGCTATCATGTCTCCCTTGGTCCTTCTCTTCACTAGACTAACCATGCCCAGTTCCTGAAACCGTTCTTCATATGTTTTAGACTCCAGTCCCCTAATCATCTTTGTTGCTCTTCTCTGTACTTTTTCTAGAGTCTTAACATCTTTTTTATAATGTGGAGACCAAAACTGGTTGCAGTATTCTAGGTGTGGTCTTAGTAAGCTTTTATAGAGTGGTATTAGTACCTCATGTGATCTTGATTGAATCCCTCTATTAATGCAACTTAGGATTGCATTGGGTTTTTTTGGCTGCTGCCGCACACTGTTGGCTCATATTTAATTGATTGTCCACTAAGACTCCATGATCCCTCTCATAGTTACTGCTATTAAGCCTGGTTTCACCCAATCTATATGTGTACTTTTGGTTTTTATTGCCTAAATATAAGACTTTACTTTTCTCTACACTGAATTTCATTTTGTTAGATAGGGCCCAGTGTTCAAGTCTGTCAAGATCTATCTGGATCTTGAGCCTATCATCTACGGTGTTAGCTATCCTGCTAGCTTAGTATCATCTGCAAATTTGATACGTTTCCCTTCTATTCCCTCATCTAAGTCATTTATGAAGATGTTGAAGAGTACTGGGCTTAGGACAGAATCTTGTGGTATGCCACTGCTTACTTCCCTCCATGTAGACACAGTACCATTAAGGACTACTCGTTGAGTATGGTTTGTCAGCCAGTTAAAAATCCATCTGATGGTGATGCTGTCTATCCCACTTTGTTTTAGCTTTCCAAGAAGTAGGTTGTGGTCTACTTTTGTTGAATGCCTTGCTGAAGTCTAGATATGCTATGTCCACAGCATCTCGCTGGTCTATTAATTTAGTTACTTGGCCAAAGGATGAAATAAGATTGGTTTGGCATGATCTGTTTTTGACAAACCCACACTGGCTTCTAGTTTTAACTTTGTTTGTTTCTAGATGTTTGCAGATCTGTTTTTTAATGATCTTTTCCAGTATCTTCCTGGGTGTTGATGTTAAGCTGATTGATCTGTAGTTTCCTGGGTCTCTTTTCCCCCCTCCCTTTTTTTGAAGATGGGAACCACATCAGCTCTTTTCCAATCCTCTGGTAGTTCCTTGGTGCTCCAGGATTTTTGAAAGATATGGTACAGTGGTTCTGAGATGACATCTGCCAGGTCCTTCAGAACTCTGGGATGTAATCCATCAGGTCCCGGTGATTTATATTTATCAAGATCAGACAGATGTTTTCTTACCATTTGTTTTATTTTAACTTTTATTTCTAGTCTGTCTTTTTCAGTTATGTTTTTGATAGATTGGGCTATAATTTCTTTTTGCATGAAGACCGATGCAAAGAATGAGTTAAGCAGCTCTGCTTTCTCTCTGCTGCCTGTTACTTCCTTGCTGTCTTCTCTCTTTAGTGGACCAACTGTTTCCTAGATTTTTTTCCCTGTTATT